ATATATATATATATATATATATATATATATATATATATATATATAGTTGTATGAAAAAAAGATATCAATGACTTTGAAAAAGATATTCCTATCAGTTATTGGCGTTTCGATGCCACGTTAGGCAAAAAATATTTTTTGCATCGTCACAATTTGAAGAGATATTTAGACGACTTCAAACGACCGGTTTAAAAATTTGATTTGAAATTCTGCATTCTTTCGTTCATTCGAGTTGCCTTCGTCAAAGAATTCCTTTCGTAAAAAGATCCGATGCAGTAAGAATATAATGTTTAATGTTAAACGGACCACTCTGTACATAATTCAAAATCGACGACGAACACAACGTCCTTTTCACGGTAACGAAAATTCCATTTCTCGCTAGCCGATCTCTGAATTTCTGAACTTTTGCCGAAGAAAAATCTCGACAATCAATTCGAAAGCTTATTTCCTGAAGATCACTGTGTAATTTCACACCCAGATACTCGGAACGAGCGGTACACGAGCTGATGGTACTGGCAAAGGACCGCGGGGCCTTATTCCGCAGCGGAGGCGGCAGCAGCCGAGCCAGCACGGCCAAAGTGACCATCAGAGTTCGCCAAGTGAACCTGCACTCGCCGGAAATCTACGTGCACCATCTGCCGGACATCGTGGAGCACTCGAACGCGGACATATACGCGATCGTTCGCGTGATCGACAACGACGAAGGCGTTCACGGACAGATCGCGAGTCTGGATATCGTCGGTGGCGACCCGGCCGGCCACTTCAGGGTGCGACCAGCCGGCGGGCCGCACTCGGGCGAGTACAATATCGAGGTGTTGCACTTGCTGGACCGCGAGACCGCGGTTCAGGGTTACAATCTGACGTTGCGCGCGATGGACCGTGGCGTGCCGCAACGTTACAGCTATAAGTTCGTGCCGGTGCATCTGGCGGACCTGAACGACAACGCGCCAGTGTTCAGCCGCGAGATCTACGAGGTGAAGGTGCCGGAGACGGCGCCGATCAACACGCCGGTGATCCGGCTGAAAGTGACGGACGCGGACGAGGGGAAGAACGCGCTGGTGTTCCTGGAGATCGTGGGCGGCAACGAGGGCGGCGAGTTCTACGTGAACGCGGAGACGGGGATGCTGTACACGGCGGTGAACCTAGACGCGGAGAAGAAGGCGTTCTACACGCTGACGGTGTCCGCGGTTGATCAGGGGAACGCCGGGACGAGGAAGCAGTCGTCGGCCAAGGTGAAGATCAACGTGGTCGACACGAACGACAATGACCCGACGTTCGAGCAGTCGGAGATGGAGGTGTGGATCGACGAGAACGAGCCGGCCGGCACCTCGGTCGTGAAGATCACCGCGAAGGACCGCGACTCCGGCGAGAACGCCTACATCTCGTACAGCATCGACAACATCCAGAAGGTGCCGTTCGAGATCGACCATTTCTCCGGGATCGTGAAGACGAAGCAGGTGCTCGACTACGAGACCATGAAGAGGGAGTACTTGTTGCACGTGCGGGTGAGCGACTGGGGCCTGCCTTACCGGCGACAGGCAGAGATGCAGCTACATGTGAGGCTGCGCGACGTGAACGACAACAGGCCGCAGTTCGAGCGGATCGATTGCACCGGCCACGTGCCCCGTTACGTGCCCATCGGCTCCGAGATCATCACCGTCTCCGCCATCGACTTCGACGCCGGCAACATCATCAGTTATCGTATCGTTTCCGGCAACGAGGACGGCTGCTTCGCCCTGGACTCGGCCAGCGGCGTGCTCTCCGTCGCGTGCGACCTCGCCGACGTGAAGGTGACCGAGCGCGTGATCAACGTCACGGCCACCGACGGCTCCCACTTCGCCGACGTGAATCCCGTGCACATGCACTTGGTGAACGCGAAGCGGAACCTGGGCTCGCAGGCGCGAATCCTGTCGGATCAGAGCGGCGCGTTCGAGTGCCGCGACACCGGGGTCGCTCGCAGGCTGACCGAGGCGATCGCCGCCGCCGAGAGGAACAACATGCCCTCCAAGGACGACGAGTACGCTCTAACGCCGAGCCGGTACGGCGAGAACGTCCATGCGCCGGAATTCCTCGACTTTCCCAGCGAGATCAAAGTGAACGAGTCCGCGAAGATCGGGACGACCCTGGTGAGGATACGCGCCAGAGACAGAGACCTGGACTACAACGGCAAGTTGGTGTTTTGCATATCGAGCGGCGATCGCGACTCGGTGTTCGGCATCGACCCGGACACCGGCGACTTGAACGTCATTGGTTACCTGGACAGGGAGCGCGAGAGCGAGTACTTTCTCAACGTGAGCGTGTACGACTTGGGCAAGCCGCAGAAGTCCGCGTCGAAGATGCTGCCGGTGACGATCCTCGACGTGAACGACAACGCGCCGCGATTCGAGAAGTCGCTGGCGAGCTTCAGAATCTCGGAGACCGCGCTCAACGGGACGAACGTGTGGCGAGCGAACGCCACCGACGCGGACCTCGGCGAGAACGCGCGCGTCACTTACTCCCTGGTGACCGAGACGAACGATTTCCGGGTGGACCCGGTGACCGGCGTGCTGACCGTTTTCGGCAGACTGGACAGGGAACGGCAGGAGATCTACGAGCTGAGAATACGAGCGCAGGATCACGGCGGCAAGGGGACCGCCGACTCGCCGCCGTTGTACTCGGATGCTTTGGTCCGGGTGACAGTGGACGACGTGAACGACAACGCGCCGAGCTTCGCTCTGTCCACCTACACGGTGAAGATCCGAGAGGACGTGCCGGTATGGACTGTGGTGGCGGTGGTGGACGCGACCGACCCGGACGAGGCGTCCGGTGGCGATATCGAGTACTTTCTGTCCGACGCCATGGAGAGCGAGGGTTACTTCAAGGTGGACAAAGTGTCCGGCACGATCAGAACGACGCAGAGCTTGGACTTCGAGGAGCGCCAGGTGCACACTTTGACGATCGTGGCCAGGGACAGGGGCGAGCCGTCCTTGTCCTCCGAGACGATGGTCATCATAGAGGTGGTCGACGTGAACGAGAATCTGCACGCGCCGTTGTTCGACGATTTCGTCGTGTCCGCGAGTGTGTTTGAGAATCAACCCGTTGGCACTCTAGTGACCACTGTGCGCGCCAGAGACGCGGATCCGCTAGGGGGCGATTCCAGGATTGGATACACCATCAGAGGTGGCGACGGTATTGGAATCTTCTCCATCGACAACGAAGGTGAGTACACCTTTTTCTCTCTCTCTCTCTCTTTCTCTCTATTAATTTATACAGGACGTCTCCTGAAATTTGTGTAGAACTTTCTAACTCGCGCTATTCGGCATTCTGCGAACAGAAATATTTATAATCGGCAGGTCAAACGCGAGAATAAAGCGGCAGGAAGAATATCAACGACCGGTAGCGCGGTACGACAATATTTAACTTTTTCATCCGATTACCTTTAATCCCGCGCAATAATGGAAATTTATTGGCATTGCAAAGTTGCTGCTGGACAGAAGCCGACAGCTTCCAGCAACAGGGCTCTCCGTACGCCCATAAATTAACCGTACTCAATTAAACTCGATATTCGTAAGCGGTTTATAAACCAGAACAATCTCACGTCCCATCTCGACAGTTACACGCAGTTCCAGCTTCCTTCGACCAAACTTTATCCACTATTTGTAGTCTAGGAGTTTGAACGAGAAGACATTTTTCCGCAGATACACAGATACTTTATCAAAAACGTTGCAACGTACAGAGATAGAAAATACAAAGAGAACGATATTTGCTATGCCGATGGGAAGACTTTATCGAAAGTTAATAGAACTTTTTAAACTGATGGAAATTTTTCAAAAGTATTACCATCGATCTTTGATCTTTTAATTTCTCCAAATATGTGTACGATACACTTACTCTTATTTTTCATCGGCAATCATGACAAAGGTTCCTCGGCTACCGTTCGTTTCACCGTTTGGAACGAAAACACACGGGAGACTCGTTCTCTCGTGAGATGTTCGTTAATGGAAAATTTGAATTTTAAACGAGGATCACCGAGAAATCAATCAGCGTGTCGGCGTAAACGTTTATTTAAATTCCTTCCGGCCTTTTGACGTCGCATTAAACCATCCGCGGCTGTCGAACCTGTCGTTTGCATATTAACCTTTTTTTCCACCCTCGCCTCCTTGCACCGGCAACTTTCTCGCTCAAGCGTTTCCGCTTCGTGCCACGGATCAATTTATGTAACGTAAAATCAACAAATACCAACCTGTACTACAGATTAACAATGAATTCAACAGTTTCGAAACTTTTATTACAACGAAAATAATAAAACTGACATTTCAGGATAGAGGTGATAACTGTTATCAAGAATGTTGCACTCGTTAATAAGGAGACATTGTACAACAAGACGTATACGCGAAAAGTTCAATTATTTAATAAAATATCGATATATTAGCACGTGGACTTGAAAGTTACACGGGCCCATAGAAAGTTAAATTCATTTCTCGTGAAACGCTCGACGACTGTTCGATCGTGTCCCCTTCCTCTCGCGGAAACGTTGCTCGAGAGTTCTCTCTCGCGTGGCTCTTAAGCATCCAACTTCTGCGTAACGCGCCCAATTCGGTTAGTTCGCCAGTTCTTCCATTCTGAATCCGACAGTTTCACGATTGTGCACGAAAGTTCGCGAGTACGACTACGGTGGAAAGAAGGTAGCAACGACGCTTCTTCGTCCTCGCCCCGTGTTCGTACATGGAGTATAAATTTCAAGTTCCTAGCGAAGAGCTTCGTTCCTTCGAACTTTGCTTGCTAATTTCCTCTCTCGATCGTCGACCAAGGATTGGCCAATTATTCAACCCTTTCGCTACGTAGCAGTTCAATCGCGAGTTACACTGGAAACGACGAAATTTTTTGTCAACTCAGAAAGTATATCGAAATAACCAAAATACTGAATTGCACTACATGAAACCAATGTTACTTATTTATTCTGTGTTGAATTGTCACAGTAAAAATGTAACAGCAACTTTAAGCTTTATCTCAAGGTATATATTTGATAATGTAGTAAAATGTGGTACAATTCGAAATACGAGTCAATATATAAACATTTCTTACATTCGTAGTGTGTCTCTCTTCTTCTGTCATGTTTTCCAGACATTATACATTTTCTGATTAATTTATTACCACAGCTTTTCATTTTAAGGGTATTAAACGAAACTATAAAATAATCACGTTTAAATAATATACGACTATGAAATGAGCGCCTACATAGGCCGAAGTAAGTTAACTTCTTCTGGGACGAATTTCTAATTTCAGTTATAACAAAGAAATTTAATTTAATTTTTTACTCGCGTGATATGGCAATCGGGATTTATGTTTTTTGGTTAGCAAATTTGGTAAAGGTTGCACATTTATTTTCGCCGACAGTAGCCAAAGAGTTAAGAAGCTCGCGATGAAACGACACGACGTCGCAAGAGACGTTTTAAACGCAAATTCTCCCATGGAGGAACAGTCTCTCCAGGGACCATTTGGTCAGAGGCACGTCGATCGATTTCTCCCGACACGCAACGTTTTGTTACTCTGCTGGGAAAGAAATTAAACTAACTCGACTAAAATTCGCAACAGGTCGATGGATGGTGGTTGGCTGCGGTATCCACCGGTCGAAATCGAGACGAACGAATTGTGTTTCTTTATCAGGATGGAGGGTCCGTAGGTTTTCGTAGGCGGGAATTCCGTTCGTTACGATAGTTTAAAATCGGGCTGATGTATCTCTCGTAGCAACCGTATTGCAATTTATTCTTCGAAACACGATCGAGCCATGAAACGTGTCTTTCTTTCTTTTTTTTTTTTTCGATTTGCTTGCTACTGTCCGTTTTGTTCCTTTTCTGTTCTCTCTCTCTCTCTCTCTTTTTCTCTCTCTCTGCGTTGGTATCGACCGATCAAAAGGAGCGAAACAAAAGTACAAAGAAAATGAACGGGGAGAAAAAGGAAGGAGAAGAAGAAAAAAAATAAACGGGCGCAGCGCTTTTACATCGGACAGGCGAGAGGCAGCCGATGCTCCGTGGCTGCAGTCCAAAACGAAGTTACTGCGTCGCGGCCCATTAAATACCGACGCAGCGGGTTTAATTGAATTATGGGACTCGCAACGGGTCCTTTTTTCCCCGGGCCAAGCCCGCTCGCGCATTAAATTCCTACCGCGTCGCGGTCTCCTTTCACCGCGAAAACCGACTCGAGAAATAGCCCGTCATCCTGTTTAATAGTCGATCTCCCCCCTCGGTTCGATCGTGATCTTTAAGCACTTGACTCTACGACGAGCTCTCCTCGCGATCCTTTCCCGAAATGAACGAAATGATTATAGAATCTTGGAATGATTCTCGTTAAAAGCACCCGCTTTCGATCAAATCGTTCCCTTGTTCGTAAATTGGACTTGCGCGTTCCGCTCAAGTTCTCAAATTCTGTATCTCCACTCGCCATTCTTTCGGCCACGTCTACGTTACAGACTGGTAAACATCAAATAAGAACTGCAGGTTGATTTGCTCTCGTCGAGTCGTGAGTTTTAAAATCGCAGTTTCAAAAGAATAAGTTTGCTCGCGTCTTGGTCGAGCGTTGCGAATGTTTCCGTTCGTTTCAAATTAATACGAGGATGAAGAAGAACGAAGGGGAGAGCTATTTATGAAATTCAGTAACAAAGTGCGGCTCCAAGCTCTAAGCGGCCTAAGACTCCGGTTCTGATTGTACCCGAGCGTTGGCAAAGCCTTCTTTAACCGAACTTCTCTTTCTTCTCGGGCGTCGTTTCCCGCCAGACAGTCGCGAAAACGACTAAATCCGAGATTTCTCGACGGGTATCCTTATTTTTCATTCGCGGCTTAAGCGATCTGTTTTCCTAGAACGAGTCCCGGCAAAGCTCGAGACCGGTCCAGATTACTCGAAGCGCGAACAGCCGAGAATATCTCCGGAAAATCTCGTCGCGTCAACTCACACTGTTCATTCATTCTTCTTTCAACCTGTTAAGGAAAGAGCTTAATTGATACGAACACGATGCAAACAACGTGGCACCGATCTTCCTATTTTTCTTGATCGCGATCGATTTGCTAATAACCAGTCGGCTGTTGATCTATGCGGCGCCATAAATCGGGCCTGTAACTGTAACGTTTCGATTTCAATTGTGGGTGTTTCGCACGACAAAATGTATAGGATGGAAAGAAAAGTTTGTCCATGGCTATCATAGATGAATTCTACACCTTCGATTTGATGGAAATACGTGCAAAGAACCTGTGGCAAAATTGACTTTGATCTTGAATTTCAAAAATGGCAAAGAAGTTCCTTCATTTAACACTGCGGACGTGTGCGTCTTAACAGCGACTTTATAGTTGGACGCCTA